CGTGATGCGTAACACGAGAATGAACCTCATTGGTTCTTACAGAAGCTCAAACGTGATGCGTAACATGAGAATGAACCTCATTGGTTCTTACAGAAGCTCAAACGTGATGCGTAACATGAGTATGAACCTCATTGGTTCTTACAGAAGCTCAAACGTGCTGCCCAACATGAGAATGAACCTCATTGGTTCTTACAGAAGCTCAAACGTGATGCGTAACATGAGAATGAACCTCATTGGTTCTTACAGAAGCTCAAACGTGATGCGTAAACATGAGAATGAACCTCATTGGTTCTTACAGAAGCTCAAACGTGATGCGTAACATGAGAATGAACCTCATTGGTTCTTGCAGAAGCTCAAACGTGATGCGTACCACGAGAATGAACCTCATTGGTTCTTACAGAAGCTCAAACGTGATGCGTAACATGAGAATGAACCTCATTGGTTCTTACAGAAGCTCAAACGTGATGCGTTACACGAGAATGGACCTCATTGGTTCTTACAGAAGCTCAAACGTGATGCGTAACACGAGAATGAACCTCATTGGTTCTTGCAGAAGCTCAAACGTGATGCGTAACACGAGAATGAACCTCATTGGTTCTTACAGAAGTTCAAACGTGATGCGTAACACGAGAATGAACCTCATTGGTTCTTACAGAAGTTCAAACGTGATGCGTAACACGAGAATGAACCTCATTGGTTCTTACAGAAGTTCAAACGTGATGCGTAACACGAGAATGAACGTCAAGCGAACATGCTTGAGCTTCCGTTTACCACAACTGATGTGTGCGTTGATGAATATTTAAATGTGAATAAAAGCCTAAATTCAATCTGTTCATCATATAAAGTGATTGAAATCTCCCAGATTTCATCAAAAAGATCTTCATTTGTGATCCAAAGATGAATGGTCTTACGGGTTTGGAACGACGAGGGTGAATAATAATGACAGAATTCTCATTTTTGGGTGAACTATACCTTTAATCCCCCAAAACCGAACCCTACCCATAAGTTATCCCTAAATCAGATGGAAATTATAGGTGAATAGCACTGATGTAGAAGCATCTGATCTAACCCTGGTTGTAAGCCTAAACATTGACATAAACATTAAACTTGTCTCTCAAATCTGATTGGTTGATTGAAATGTTGATAATAGGCCTATGTTCTGTTCTGCAGGCCATGACAGGTATGGAAGTTAAATTGTGAGGAATAGACTTACAGTGTTTTCGATGGCATCCGCTGTAAAAAGCTGTATAAAGCTCATAGATCACTGATAATAGACCTTATTCACTGCAGCGCCATCTTTGATTTTTAATGGGAATGAAAGCGAGGCTGTGAGGGATAGACACATCTCTTCAGTGGGTTCTTCTGTTATTTAAGAGTTTTAGAGTATTAGTCCTATGTAATTTAAGGAACAGGGTCAAACATCATCTTGGTAGATTACAAGTTAGTTAGAGCAGAGGTCATGGTTTGCGTTTTTTTATATGGTGAGTGGCGCCAAACTATCGAACTATCACGTTAGATAATTACCATGGATAACCATGGCAACAGCGGGCTTAGCCCTTAGAACACTGTCAAAACAACAACAATAAATAAATAAACAATTATTGTCATAATTTCTCTTATTATTAGATTTACAGCTAATCCCAAGGCTACAGCGTATATGGTTTTTTTTTTAACACAGGCTAGTTTTAAAAGCTACATTTTTATTTTTAAATCCTAGCTAAATAGTTTTAAAACTACCTTACATGTTGCAATTTACAACCGTGTTTATGAACTTGTATAAGAATAAAGAGATAAGTGATTACGGTAGCCTGGTTATGTTTTGCGATTAAATGCTTTTCTAATGGAAAGCGCTCGAGCGGTTACTGTTGCTATGGTGACCACCTCGTGCGAAAGCGAGAAGCTGTTTGGCGCCAAGTAATACTCATTCTGTAATCTAAGTTTTCATTTTATTTCTTTATACTTTAACCTATTTTCTACAGTGTTTAATAGCCTAAGCTGCCGATTGAAACAGACTAAAACTGCGCATCTCAAGTGTTGTTGGCTACATTTAATCACTACCAGATTCTCCTATGGTGACGCACTGAATCCTCACCTTATGTGATCTTAGTTTTGTGCATGACTCACTGAAGTATCTGTAGCAACAAGTTTTTTTTTCGTTTAACCCTCTAGGGGTATATTGGCTAAATGTAGCAGGCTATGTGTTGCTTTTGCAATCAAACAGCCTATGCAAAAGTAACCTGTATATGTAAGCATGCTTATATCAATTATTGATAATTTCTGCAATATTACTTCTTGTTTTTATTTATTTTAGGAATATTAAGAACTAGGAAATTGTTTAATCATACGTATAAAATCATGAAGAAATGTTCAATATTAAAATAATTTTATGCTAAAATGACATCCCTTTGTACACAGAAGAAAATGGTGTAGAAACAATTTTCACTCTGAAAATTGCTTGTAAATTTTACAAACAATAACAAAAAAACAGCAAGTAACATGTTGAATTGAACATAAAATGTAGAAAAACTGAAATAATGTTCTCTCTCATACTATTCTTTATTCACAACTTCTAGGAAAACTAAGGAAGGAAAATAAGAGGAAACTTTTTAAGTACGCATGCAATCGATGTTTATCAGTATAATTTGTTTTTGGAAATCTGCCCATCAATATTAAGTTATAATGGTACATACCGTTTTCTAACGGTGTCAACATTCTTGAAGATATTTGTTTAATCATGTAGTCATGTAATTTTATAACGGCTTAATGTTTTTATGGGAAAAATATTCAGGATAAATTCCACAACATATATTCTTCAGCACTTGCAGCATTATTTTCTTTAGCTATACTTTACTTGATCGCTTGATAGTGACCACAAGATCTAGAAAATAATGTGCTGTAAAAACTTCCAGCTATTTCAAGTTGCTGCCTATATTCAAATTAGCTGTACAAGTCATTTCAACTTAAATTACATTACACTAACTTATTAAAAAAAGCTGAAATTACTCAAATTATTTTGATGAGTTAGCGTAGGCTGATTAAAAACACAATTTGTGATGAATTATTAATCATATTTTTATGTTTTCTGAAGTGTTCTAAAGCATTTTGTTCTCATAACATGTTCTTCTGCATCGTTACTTACTTTTAGGTTTCAAATGAAATCATAGGCTATCACATCTCATCAAAACTTGCTTATTGGGAGCTTTTTAAGAGGGTACATCAAACCTAAATAAACGTATGCCCAAAAGGCACTATTCCTAATGCTTGCAGCATCCATCATGGAGAAGTCTGGAGGATTATGGATTGAACCCAACTCAAACTCTGAGGGTTTCATGTGCACAGGCTCTTTCACAATGAAGCATTGACAGCATCAGGTGAGTATAGGTGTGCACGTTCTGACAAATGGCTCAACTGAACTTCATCGTAAACGGACACCTTCGGCAGCGACGGTAACCTTTCTGTCCATAAATGGTTATCTGGTGCATGAGAAAGTTGTTTCAAAGTAAGACAGTGAAAAAAGGCACATCTTAAACCTACGGTGTTTCTAACTGCCATGCAAATGAACCCCCTCTGGGAAATGTGCTAGACAAACAAAAATACAGAGAAGGAGTGCAAAGGAAGCCTTTGTTTGGAGCAAGACATTCCATGCGTTTCCCAATTCTTATCTGAGCAGCTGTCGCTCTTAATAGTCTGGAAATAAAATTGAAACCAGTAACTGTTGTAGATATCCATGGATGATATTGTGCAGCATTTGGTAAGATCACCGCTAAAATCATGTTCTTAATATATTATTATTATAATTTTAATTGGATTAAAAGTACCCAGATCAACCTACCGCATACGTTTATTTTAGCTTGTTGCATTGGCGTTTCTTTTTTATTTTCATTTATTTGACTATTTTCAAAACACATTTTTTTGCCACGTAAAAAAGATACCAACATTATCAAGTGTTTCTGAAGAAGTCTGTGTAATAGCATGTAAAATGATGGTGTGATATGATCTTTCTCTCGCTCACTCGCCCTCTTCATTTTCTATCATCAATAAAGTTTGTATTAAGTGTGTGTGTGTGGTTTGTATTGGTGTGTCTGTTTAACTGTGCAAACACTGTGGCATGCTGCGTGCTTGCAGACGTATCATCGGCACATTGACGCAGGCACAAAATCTCACAAGCTCGAATGCACAGGAATATACTTCAGAAACACCTTGAATACAGTGAAATGTCTCTGACATCTGCATATAAAAAGAAAAGAAGGGTTATTTCTACACATGCATCTTATTAGTATCAGATTTGGGTCTCTTTTTGCCTCTGAATTATTGGGTGAATCTTGAAATCATGTCCAGGTCATATATCATAAAAATAAAATATAAATAAATGTAATTTATTTTATTCATTATTATTTATTTTTGTATTATATGTTTTATATTATTTATATATATATATATTGTTTTTTGTGGAGTGTAAAGTTACCAGGAAATCCCTCCGAGACATTTTGCATGAATTTTACTTTTACCATTTATTTTTAACCTATTGGAACACACAGAAAGAAAAGAAAAACTTACAAATAAGAACTAAAACGGTTTAAAATTATTTTGAAAATTAAATTAAATTACTAGTATGTATTTATTGTGCATTTTGTGCACATACAATGGACTGAAATTAAATAAAAGGCATAAAACAAGTGGGCAATCTTGCCATATTTGCCTCTGATGATTTCTAATAACTGTTGTCATTTAAGATTAAAAAGTGGAGGTCAGACATTTAATCAAGCAATTTCTCTGGAAACTGTGTCTTTCCTCGTCTGAGAGTGGGGGTTAGTGGTCCACAACAACCGACAGGCATGTCAAACGCCTTCGGGCTGGGAATGGGGCTCTGGGACAATGTTTACACACCTTAATAAGGCTTGTGTATAAAAGTGCGGCGGGAGTGAATGAAGCAGGCATTCCTTCACTCTAGCTTGAAGTCTTGCGCACACCCACATCAGGTGCACTCACTCTCACACACACACACACACACACACACTCTTGTCACTACAGTATTAGTCACTGAGGTTAGTAATGTGGTACTCCACAATTTCATCCCGTCGTGTTCCCTGTTGAGTCTGAGGCCTAGAATTAGTCCCACATTTGAGAAACAAGCGGAAACCAGAGGAAACAAGGAAAGGCCTTCCTGTTCGCACCTGCAACTCTGTCTTCACCTGGACAGGTAAGTCAGCACTGAGACCTCCTATCAACCCTCTTTCAAGGGATATTACAGCTTACATGTATTTGATGTGTACTTAAGATGGAAAAGCAAACTGACCAGTCAACAGTTTGGACACATTTTCACTGAATATTACCTTTGTGGGTGAATGTTTGAGTAGTTGGTTACACGTATATTGTGCCTATCAGTCAAATTTGAATGTAAAAATTAAAATTGCATGGAGCAGAAAAGCATCATCGCACTAGTTCCTCTTTCACGATAGTGTTAAAAAGCACTTCTTAAAGTTGGTAGATGAACGTCCTCCAGAATGAGAAGAAGCTCAAATTGCAGGTTGTTTTCATTTGCGTGATATTTTTTGGTCACTACATCATTCCCATATTTCTGTTGGTGTTGATTCATAGTTTTCATGACTTGAAAGATGAAGAAAACAGTCATAACAGAGTTGAACAGTGCCACCTATTTCTGCGGATGTCTTCACTTTTCACATAGGGATTTAAAAAAAAGTTAAACCAAGTGAATCAGCTACGAGGTGAAACACAACTTTACAAACTTTGATCGGAAGCAAAAAAGTTTTTGAAATTAGGACAAAAAGACAAAGATAAAAGACTGTGTACTTGTTGGCTTTAGTGGGAGGCAGAACTACAATCCCATGAAGCATTGCGAACAGCATTAAAAATGATGGAGAAATATAAAATTACAATAACCTCATAGCTCACAGTAGGTCTGTCTTTAAAGGTTTATAAGTTATCGTTCAAAATCAATTTCACTATGGAGAGATTGAATAGAGTTTGTACTTCCGGAACCCGACTGTTGACCTCTAAAGAATGAGGACGTGTGTCCGAACATTTGTGCAGTTTTTGTGCAGCAAAACACTTAAATGCATTTGTAAATGTGTGTATTTTAAGGTCTCCATCACCCGAGCGATCATCCTTATCACCAGCTCGTATCGTATGTGCTTTCATTGATAGGCCGATATGAATTCCGATGGTTCTGAATGCACCTGTTCTCGAGCTGACACAGTTCACCTGTCGTTCGCATGTGATGTTTCTTCATTTAGAAAGATAATTGTGAACACGCCTCCAAAAATGAAAGGTTTTCAAATGCCTTCTGGCTGTCCTCAAGACCACCACCAGCAAACCACAAATGACTGTTTTTTCCCCCTGAAGGGAAAAGTGCAAGTGACTTGTGTTCTGGCTGTCGTCCAAATCCTTCAGAAGAAGAAAAGAGCTCAATTCCCAAAGGCAAATGTAAAGTTTCAATTGATTTCTATTGAGGCCAAGCACGGTATTGTGACTGAGCTCAAGTGTTACATTGTTCTGAGTGACTAGGACTAAACTGATTATGGAGTTGTATCAAGTTGGCTTACAGCAAATGTCAATTTTTCCTCAAAGGAATAGTCCAAAAATCTCATGTTGTCCCAAACTGGCATGACTTTTTGGAGCATTATGCACTCTTAACAGGATAATTCACCCAAAAATGAGAATTCTGTCATTATTACTCATCCTCATGTCGTTCCAAACCCGTAAGACTTTCGTTCATCTTCAGATCACAAATGAAGATCTTTTTGATGAAATATTAGAGATGTCTGTCCCTCCAATGACAGATAACTTCCACTTTGACGCTTCAAAAAGTTCATAAAGAGATCGTAAATCGAATCCATGTGAATTGAGCGGTTTAGTCCAAGTTTTCTGACGAGACTTGATCACTTTATATGATGAACAGATTTAATTTAGGCTTTTATTCGCATATAAACATTGATCAACTCACACATCAGTTGTGGTAAACGGAAGCTCAAGCTTCTTCGCTTGACGTGTGAGAACCAATGAGGTTCATTCTCATGTTACACATCACGTTTGAGCTTCTGTAAGAGCCAATGAGGTTCATTCTCATGTTACACATCACGTTTGAGCTTCTGTAAGAACCAATGAGGTTCATTCTCGTGTTACGCATCACGTTTGAGCTTCTGTAAGAACCAATGAGGTTCATTCTCGTGTTACACATCACGTTTGAGCTTCTGTAAGAACCAATGAGGTTCATTCTCGTGTTACGCATCACGTTTGAGCTTCTGTAAGAACCAATGAGGTTCATTCTCGTGTTACGCATCACGTTTGAGCTTCTGTAAGAACCAATGAGGTTCATTCTCGTGTTACGCATCACGTTTGAGCTTCTGTAAGAACCAATGAGGTTCATTCTCGTGTTACACATCACGTTTGAGCTTCTGTAAGAACCAATGAGGTTCATTCTCGTGTTACGCATCACGTTTGAGCTTCTGTAAGAACCAATGAGGTTCATTCTCGTGTTACGCATCACGTTTGAGCTTCTGTAAGAACCAATGAGGTTCATTCTCATGTTACACATCACGTTTGAGCTTCTGTAAGAGCCAATGAGGTTCATTCTCATGTTACGCATCACGTTTGAGCTTCTGTAAGAACCAATGAGGTTCATTCTCATGTTACACATCACGTTTGAGCTTCTGTAAGAGCCAATGAGGTTCATTCTCATGTTACGCATCACGTTTGAGCTTCTGTAAGAACCAATGAGGTTCAATCTCATGTTACGCATCACGTTTGAGCTTCAGCAAGAACCAATGAGGTTCATTCTCGTGTTACGCATCACGTTTGAGCTTCTGTAAGAGCCAATGAGGTTCATTCTCATGTTACGCATCACGTTTGAGCTTCTGTAAGAGCCAATGAGGTTCATTCTCGTGTTACGCATCACGTTTGAGCTTCTGTAAGAGCCAATGAGGTTCATTCTCATGTTACGCAGCACGTTTGAGCTTCTGTAAGAGCCAATGAGGTTCATTCTCATGTTACGCAGCACGTTTGAGCTTCTGTAAGAGCCAATGAGGTTCATTCTCGTGTTACGCATCACGTTTGAGCTTCTTCAAGAAGTTTGTTCTCACGCGTCAAGCAGGTTCGGTTGAGCTTCTGTTTATGTTCGCTGATCAATGTTTATACAGTATGTGAATAAAAGCCTTAATTAAATCTGTTCATCATATAAAGAGATCCAGTCTCTTCAGAAAATTTGGACTAAACCGACAATTCATAGATTAGTTATGAACTCTTTGAAGTGTCAAAGTGGTAGTTGTGTAGCTGTCAATGGAGGGACAGAAATCTCTCAGATTTCATCAAAAAAATCTTCATTTATGAAGATGAACAAAAGTCTTATGGGGATCATGATGACATAATTTTCATTTTTGGGTGAACTATCATTTTAAAGTAAAGGTTCCTAAAGGGGATTTTTACAGTCATGCCACAGAAGCATCCATTTTTGAACAGTTCAATTCTTAAGATTCTGCCATTCTCAAAAAGCATTTAAAAAATCTAAAGAACCCTTTTCCAATATAAAGAACCTTTGATAGACAGGAAAGGCTCCATGCATGATAATAAAGGTTCTTTATGGAACCATCGATGCCAATAAAGAACCTTTATTTTTAAGAGTTTATATGTAAAATATAGTGTATGAGTACTTTTTGTGGCTTGACAGTAAAAATCATGGTTCCTTTTTATTTTATGGAAAACAGTTGCTCATGGATTCATATGGATTAGGAACGAATTCCAAATCTTCATTTTTGAGTGAATGATATTTAATTACAAATGAAATATTTGATTTCAGTTTTTTGGTCCGCCGAGTGTTACATGATGAGATTGAAGAGCAGATAACCTAATAATCCGAGTAAACCTGGCACAGGGACATCACACCTGCTCTGGAAGAATTAATGTGATCTTGAGTCATGAAGAATTCCCCTCTATGATTTCACTTGGGCTGAAAGATCCCAGAATGGATCAGAGATACTTATCAAAGGCAGCTGTCAGCGGTTGAGTGACTTAATATGCCAATTTGCATATAAACATGCCATGCCAGTTTTTGTTCAAACAGCTGGGGAGGATTGTGTTTGCAAAGAAATTATGGCAAAATTCTATGTTTTTACAGTCTGAAAAGATGGATGACGGCCTCATAAAAGACACATAATGTCACTGAGTAATGCAACAAATTTGCATTTTGACTTCAAATCAGTGAAAGACGAGCTAAAGCTCCTCTGATCTTTAAACCCATCATTTCCTTACTATTTAGCGCCAGTCATTTTGGTCATTTGTGAAAATGTTTATATTCCAATGAAAATTCATATTCATATACCTCCAAAACTATTTGAATACTCAAGACATACTTGAAAATGTTTGAATGGCATTTTTAGATAACAAAATATGATCATATTTGATACAATAAGGTTTTTACATTTTGTTATCAAATGATATTCCGATAAGTGTGTTAAAATACTTTACGTGGATATGAGCATATGTAGGGAAGCATTTTGACCTTGAAGAGTGTTTTTGGAGATTCTGTTGCTGGTTTGTACGAATCAGCCAGTCGTTGTACGACACATCACTGGAGCTCAGTCATATGCCGGGGAGCCGCCGCACTAATTGCTTGTAATGATTACCAAATCTTTTATGTCCTTATGATGTGAACAAGCTTAATATTGTGCAGCTGTTGTTGAAACCCTGCAGTCGACGGAGCATTTCCTCCAGTAAGAGACGTTTACTATGAGCACGGCATGAACACAAGCTAATAGACTCATTGAGCGGAGAGACTCGTTATTAATAGGTAATGTTTTGCTATTGAACTGTGCTGTGCTGTTGCTATGCTGAGAGAGAACAGGAATCATTAAAAATCTGGGGGAAAAAACAAATACTACTTTAACTTAATTTTCTGATAGCAAACACACACACACACACACACACACACACACACACCTAAAGGATTATTAGGAACACCTGTTCAATTTCTCATTAATGCAATTATCTAATCAACCAATCACACGGCAGTTGCTTCAATGCATTTAGGGGTGTGGTCCTGGTCAAGACAATCTCCTGAACTCCAAACTGAATGTCAGAATGGGAAAGAAAGGTGATTTAAGCAATTTTGAGCGTGGCATGGTTGTTGGTGCCAGACGGGCCGGTCTGAGTATTTCACAATCTGCTCAGTTACTGGGATTTTCACGC